CTGGTGAAACGTTAGGAAACAAAACTTCAAGAACACAGCCACACAGCCCGGAAGACCCACACCAGCCATCGTATGCCAGCCGGGAAAGCCTTCGACAATACAACCTACAGGACTGCCTGCACCAACTAGAATTGCCTGACCCATTAGTCTGAAAAACTACTGAGAGCCACACTTCTGAGAAGCGAAACTAGAAGTCACTGCTTCTGTGTGGTAGCGGTGGTTCTTGGGAATAGACTCCTGGTAGAGATCAAGTTAGCCCACTCTTTGTTGATGTTTAGAAAATGTTAAGAATAGACTTATTTCAGATATATTTTCCTAAGTTTATGCATCTCTTACTCTTTTATTGTTTTAGTTTAGTGTTACTCTTTTAATGTTTAAATTTGCTCTTCTTTTAGTTGGAAGGGGTTTATTTTAATTGTTTCATTTCAGCTATACCACGGTTATTTTAAAGTGTTGCTATATTATAATTATGTAATTGTCCGAGAGTCACTAGATTGTATTGGGGCATAAATTTAATAAAGAAATAAATGTGCATCTTAGGGAGGTCATCTGAAAACATGAGGGCCACCATAAAAATACCCTGTTCCTTGCTGATGGCAGTCTAATATTCCAGTTAAGAAAAATTATAAGGAGATTAGGAGTTTGGGTGGATGTACTCTCAGAGATAGAGACAAGATGGTCTCTAAATTGTTGGTCCTAAGGTATTTAGCGGAAAGCCCAGGTTGTTATCTACTCGTATAATTCAATCCATCAGCAACAAGTAGTCCAAGAAATCTTTGATAAGTACTTCTTCCAGCTTTCTTAACATAGAAATGCTTGTGTACTTTCTGTGCACGTATATGTACTTCTGTTAGGATTAAACACGATAGATAAGAGGTAATAAGCTAAAATAAATAAACTTTTACCTATCATGGTTAATCCTAAAAGAAGTACATATGCATGTACAGGAAATACATAAGCATTGATGTCAGAACGGTGAGTGCTTAATTAAGATGAAAAAAGACATGAAAAGACCAAGCAATGTTGACATTCTATCTGCTTTAGGAGCTGTTTTTGAGTTGAAAATATGAATCTTCTGGTAACAGACATTTATAGCAGAAATTCAGGATTTGCTTCCTCATGCTTTGTTTCATTCTTTTCCTGCATCCACCCACTCAGGAAGACCTCAATCTACTTTGAAGTGCCCTCCTATCCTCCTGAGCACTTACCCTTCCATTACTGAATGGAACTCATTTGTTACAGCTCTTAATGTAAATTATTTTACTTTAAATACTAATTCTAATAAGAAATATTTTGGAGAGAATCTTATCTAAAACTTAAAATAGTGACTTTTTTTTTTAAAATTTCATCTAGAGAATATCCAACGCTACTGATCACACTTTGCCTGCCCTTTCTGATCTTGTTCCCATCATTAATGATCAGTCACAATATATTAATCATTTAGAGGCTGAAGTCAAGTTTTGCAAGGTATGCTACATAATACTCTAATTATGATCTGTTCTGTCAAGGAGGGCTTTATTCAGCTAATATTTGAAGTTTTAAGTCCACAATTATGTATATTTGAAACAGAAACAATTTGTTTAGTACCCGAAAAGAAAGCATTTCATTTTATCTTTATTGGTGAAAAGTATATCTCAGCCAGCAGGTTCAGATGTATCTGAAGTAGGACGTAACTGTTTCTAATACCATATTAAAAACATGAGGATTTGAACAATAGGTAACAAATAGTTTAGTTGCCATTTGGCTGGGTTTAGAATGTAATGGCAGCTGGGAGTTAATTTCTGTTCCCCAGTCATTTCCAATTATACTTCCCTAACATAGCTATGTATCTAGTAGCATATCTTTTTCTGTGCATACCTTTTTCGCTCACATGTGCATAGTTTTCATATACAGTGGAACCTCGGTTTACGAACTTAATTCGTTCTGTGACTCTGGCCGCAACCCGAAT